AAGCTTTTGGGTGACAACCCAGTGGTTAGCTATGCAGCAGTACCATTCCCAAAGGATTAACAGGAATGTGTATCATGTGGGGCTCTGCATGCCCTAGTAAAATATTGATTATCTGCTAGCAGGAGGCACTTCATTTATTTTAACTCAGTTACTCTTCTGCAGCGAGGAGAATAAACATGCCTCTTGCAAACTGTTCAGTGACAATGTAATCTGTTCCAGGCAATGATTTCACACCCACCATTCAAAGCTTCACACACAGCTGTACTCAGACAATACAACTTCAAGGGGATAGTACCGTAAAATGAACAAGTCATTTTGTGCCTACGCCAAGAAAAACAGGCAAAGTCCTGTTTGAATCCCAGTAACTTCTAGTGCTCACAGCCACTTTCTGAACCAGGGCACTTTCTGAAAAAAAGGTACAGATTGGCAGCCTCCAGCCGAGCCCAGGGCTCTCCCTTTAAAATGGAAACTGTCCTGCAGTTAAGTTTATTCTCACTGTCTGGCACTGTAACCTTCTCAAATGGATGCTCAGCTTCTGCCTCTACAAAAAAGATTCTAGAAAACCTGTATTTTCTACTGATAGTCTAAAATATGTCTAAATGGGGAATTAAAGTCCAGTTTTAATTGCATTGAATAGTGCAAAACTATCTTCGCTCTAATATTACTGGGCCATTTCCTAAGGACATGAAAGTTTTGTTATCAGATTTGTTATCAAAGCTTCTACATCTCAACAAGTTCTGTGAAAAAATTACAGCTAGATGGAGAAGAGAAACCCATGCCAGCTGCCATCCCTGGAAAGTCTGCAGCCACCTGGCTCTCATGTACCAACCGATCCAGACAACTCAGAATCAGCTGGAGGGAGGACACGTGCTGCCTTCTGTCCATGCAGAGTTAAAGGCAAGGGAAGAGAGCTGAGGGCACAGAGCACAAATCTATGGGGCAAAGCAAGGAGTCTACTTATAAGCCTACTCATCATAGCCATAGGAAAAGGATCCAGGATTATTGCAGAAGGGGAACGAGATGTAAAGCAAGGGAAGCAGGCTTCCTTGCTCGCTGAACAGTATTTCTGCACTGCAGCAATGGCTGGCGCCCCTCATCAAGCTTCCTCCTGCCAAGCACGATATAGACAGAGCATCTGCATCAAGCCTGCAAAACTCTGAGCATAAAGATCAACCCCTTATATTTTCATAGGTTTTCAAACTCCAATGAAAGGTAAAAAAACCTCTCTGTAACAACACATTTCCTAAAGCTAAAGATGTAAATGTACAAAGAGATGATTTTCAGAAAGAAACGTGACCCGAAATCACTTACTTGGACAACATGAATACACTCCAAGAATTGCTTATTAATTTAAACAGATGCCTATAGTGACATAGGCTAGCAGTGACCTAAACAACGCTTCTAACGGAAACCTGAAGTGTTTTCAACATTTTTTTTTTCCTAAAATACAGTTCCAAATCTGGACTTCCAAATTGGGTCAAGCCTACCACAACAGTTTTTTCTGAAAATATATAGAAAAGGAACAAAGTCATATTTAAGGAGAAGTATTTAAGTTAATATACTTTTCCATCCATCACTGTAAATAAGCACAGAAAAACTATTTGAAATAGGTTACTGCAGCCTTAAAATTTTTAAAACTTGTTAAAGCTGCTTTTACTAAACTTTACTGAGTCTATAGAAAAGAATTGTATCACTCAGCTGTACACATTCTGCCTGAGTTCATGCCGTGGATTACAATAACAACGCTATAATTACAATGACTGATGCACACAGATTTCTGGCTCTATATCCAGCCTTTGAAAAGACATTGGAATTGTGATTGTATAAAAGACACTGGGCACCTACTGAACACCAGCTACAAACAAGTACAGCAATTACTAACCCACACATTAGTTACTGACCTGACCTCCCTCTCCTCACATATCCTGCACCCGCTGAAACATTTAAGCATTTTGAACACCAGATTTTTCATATGTCTGCTGCAAAGTAGGCTTTCAATAACTACCACCACACCTTTCTACCGCTGTAACATATTACCATCATTCTAAGTAACAAACAGCCCTTGCCCCAACCCCTTTAAATCTGTCAATCTCTTGATTGTCCTGACAATCTCTTCTAAAAAGGCTTGGTATGTAATGGGTATTTTTGGCCTGCATATGTTGATTTAAATTTCCATTTGATTATGGGGTAGAAAATTTCATAAGTTTTAAGAGTTGTAAACTTAAAAAAGATCTATAAATGCAAAAAATGAAGATGGGTGTGTAAAAGACCAGTGCTGCATATACTTCTAAATTACTCTCTCCTCATCCAGCATAAGGTGAGCTTTGACATCTCCTAATGAAATGACACATTGATTTCAGTACTGAATGCTCTTCTGCCATCGATCTGGCCACTTCCTTCATCTCCTCCTGATATTCCAAGGCAATTAAAACAACCACCTTAACACAGGCAAGAGAGAAAGCAGTATCAACTCTAAGGCCCAACAGCATATTATCTGCTGAATCACAGACATGGTGATAAAATTTAAACAGTGGCACTGTTAAAACTGTGACATTTATCACGTTGCGCTATCTATTTTTAAGTACAGTATTTGTTGAAGCTCCTAAAATTAGAAGGGAACACACTGCAAATACCATGGTAACTGCTTGGCATGGTAAATCAAGGTCCTTAAGGCTCCCACACAGACTTACAGCTATTGTGACTAGAGTTACCCAAATGGCACCTAAGCATACTTACTACTTACCAAGCAGCAATGTTACCTTGGATTAAACTAAGAATAAAGCCAAGGGCTTACTCGCTCAAAATAGCACCAAGATTTTTCTGACGTTAATGAGTAGCTCAAAACTACTTTAAAAATAATTTTGTTTGTACTGTGCATTGTTAAGACAAAGCTGGGCTGATTTAAGCCTGATTTTAAAACACAAACACATTTCAGTTTGCAGAGAGCTCCCCACAAGAAGTTTAGGAAAAAACAAGGAAGAAAAAAAAAAAAGGCAAAGGGAGAGAAGGGACAATGGAAGAGTCTACACATTAAAGGACATAAAGATGTTTCAGGTTGAATGAGATCATCCAGAATCTTCAGAAAAATGCTTGCTCAATTTCTTGTCTCCATTTTGTTTTACCACATGTTCAATGATACATTGAGGGTATGGTTTCCTTATTCAATAAAAGTAGGATGGAATAATACATTCTTCAGCCTTCTAAGAGTAGTTGATATCTAAAGAATTGTGCCTCCAGCCTTTCTTTCAATTCACACATGGATACATTTCTCATCTTGAAAGCAGATAATCCCCCAAATTGTTGTTACATTGATTTTCCAGAATTAAAAGGGAAGACCGATAATGTCAAAGACAAGAGACAGACAACTAACTACCTTTAACCTTTGTTGGTCAAACACCAGGAGCAGGTCATAGCAATAGGTCACAGGAAGTTTGCTTAGTAGTTTATACAAACTTCACTCTTTCATATTACAAAGAATTTTGAAAGTATGTCTATTGGCCAGGAACAAAAGTCTCAGAGTTAAAGATTTTCCTTTCTGTTTAGCTTTCTCTAGAAACATCAATACAAAAGTGTTCACAGAGCAGACAATTTACATATACACCAGTAAAACAGATGAAATGGACAGGTGTGCACTACATACATTGGTAAAGACATCAACCCTCCAGACAGATACACACAACGCTGCGTGGAAATAAAACCATCACACATTACAGGTGGTGTGGGAATGCACACTGACAGAGAAGATACAGCTGTCGAAGCACGGTTCATACAAACAGGCAAAATGGGGCTGAAAGTCCTTGTAAGAGCACTTACAAGTAAAACTTCTCTTCCCAAACAGGGTTCAGATTCCCAAAAATTGTTTTTGTCCTCTTCTTTGTTTTACCCACTTGGACAGTTACATACGGATCGCTGGACCCAGTCTTGTCTTTGGCTTGCAGACCCTGAGCACACACCACTGGAAGGAAAAGAAAAAGGTTACCACCACCATGCAATAAGACAATGTGTCCACACACCACGTAATGCAGCAGCTCAGAATGGCCAGAGAAACAGGAATATCACTCTTGAGAGCTTTTCTGATGAGCCTCAGCTTATAGTGCACTGCAGTGCCGGGGGTAGGATTATCTCCACCTGCTACCTGTAAACTGAGCAGAAAGAGGCATAGGTAAGAGAAGATCTTCCTCTCCATTCTCTCTGGCTTCACACCAACTCTCTCTGACCTTAGGCTCCCAAGCAAGGTCAAGAGAACCCATGCTGTTCTCACTCACCTGTGATGGTGATCTTTGCTGACCATTTTGAGGTCCCGTCAAGCACACTCTGCTTCACTGTCTTCATCTGCTGAGCATGTGTCATTTTGCTCTCACAGAACACATCTCTGATCAAGTCAAAGATCTCTGGCTTGTTCCGCTCCCGGATTTTCATGCGATCCTTCATGGCCATGATGAAATTCTGCGTTCGGTCTTCAGCTCCATGCTTCGAGCTCTTCTCCGCTGCTCCTGTGCACCAGAAAGTACACAATGTTCATCAGAAACAGACAAACACAAAGTCATGCTTCACTGAATCTGGACAGCAGGATCAAAGCCATGAGTTATCCTCCACATGATGGCTCTCGCTATTGACTTTTACAGTCAGACCTCCCCCATTTCAGCATGCAAGAGAACCTGGACCACCGGGAGCTGGGAGGGGATAATGGAAGGAGAGTGCCCAGATCCCTCTATAACCTGGGAGAAAGTTGCTCTCCTGACAACAGGCCCGAGTTTAATACCCTTGCAGCTGAGGAAGACCCAGAAATTAGGTTCTTACTTTAAGAGCAGACATCTGCATGCCCCTTCTTCTCATCACCTCACTCTAAATAAATAAATCCCTGCTTGGGCAAGTGCTAAGAAGAGGACACAGGACCTCCATTACAAACAGTATCTATGCACTTTTCTCAATGCTGCACCTCAGCACCATGGAAGAGCAGAAGTTCAGACAGGCCAACACGGTCAGCATTTCCCACCAATGTGTGCCACATTGACTTTGGCACAGTTGCTCCACAATCTACATCCCATTCTTCTACCTGGAACCACCCTGTCTGGGATCAAGCATCAAGCTGGAGGCATTCAAGGTGGCTCTCTGGATCTCACTGTGTTTTATCAGTTGTATGAAAACAACTCAAAAAATCCATTCTTAGAATCACATAGGCACAGTACCTATAAAAAAATACCTAAAAGGACCCAAACTTTTCGCTATCAAATTTGTTACATCAAAAGCGTGGGGCACTAGTATACGGTATCTAGCAGCTGGAAACACAAGAGTTTGGCATAGGGTCTGTGCTACATAGACGTTTAACTGCATCAGGAAAAAGAGAGGCTTCTAGTCACTTGCATTAACTCCTAAAAAATGTAAATGTTCATAGAGCTATGAGATAAAATGCTCCCACAATCAACTACTCCCCACTCAATTTTGACAGCCATGTTTGCAGTCAAAATTCAGCCACTGACTATTGTGTCACATACGAGGCATGCGTTAATGAAAACACTGACGTGAGCTAACAGGGCAGACAGCCCAGGGTGTGAAACAAAGAGCAGGAACCCAAAATTGCACTGTCTCTCTACGTGCAGTCTGCAGCATTTTTCAGATACGATCTTAAAAAGATTAAGTTAAACCAATACAAAAGTCCTGTGAACACATTCGGTCACAATAATTCTGTTTAGTTTAATATGCTTTTGCTTATTTTTCTTCTCTGGGATAGTTTAATTAAAGTAAGCTTTGTCCGAGAAAAATTACCTTTATCCAAGTGTTCACCAAATATTAAATTACCTTAAAACCAGGTATTCGAGCACACACAAGTGTGTGCAAAGGGAGCCATCAATCACAAAGATACAGAAAACTTTCCTTCTAGAAGAAGTGGGCAAATATGATATCTGGAGCACCTTTAATATAGGACATTGCAGTTTTGCATATGAAACAGTTTCAGCAGGTAGTGACCAAATATTAATAAAGTTCTATGAAAACACACACATAAAGGACCCCCAGCAGTACAACATAACAGGCAACCTTGTTAAGCAGGCTTGACAGGGTGCCCAGTGACTAACGCTGCCTAAAGACATCCATTTCTAGGGCCTTCAATCCAACACCTTTCACCGTTACTAAATTCACTTCAATAAAGAAACAAAACTCAATTATAACTTCCACCATCCAAACCAAAAAAGAATAAAAATACAGTTTAGAACAGCCTGTGACTGCTGAAGTTTCAGAAGTTCATTAAGGACACTGCATACCAAGGCATGCTATTAAAGACTGGAGTATAAAACAAGCCATAACTTCGCATTACCTGATAATTATTTTTTCATTTTGCTTGCTAGAGGCTTGATGTTCACTGTTTCATTTAGTACAATAAAATATATATGCCCCAGAGTTTCCTATTGTTGGCTCAAGATGAAATGAAATCAAAATACTGGAATTAATTACACAGTCCCTGCTGTCTCTACTCACAGGTGATGAAGAACTAGCACTACCCAAAGTGATGTCTTGTATCAGGCACTCATCCAGCTGTAGACCCAACATTTATTAAAGCAATATGAAACCAAAATGATACCAGGGGCTACACTTTGAACTTCAGATAAGAAGTGCTGTTCAGCTTTAACAGAACAGGGTCTTCTAGGGATGAATCCATCCAAGAGCACTGGGGGAGCTGGTGGAGGAACTTGCCAAGACACTCTCCATCATTTATCAACAGTCCTGGCTAATAGGGAAGGTCCCAGAAGATCGGAGGCTGGCCAGTGTGACGTCCATCTACAAGAAGGGCCAGAAGGAGGATCCAGGGAACTACAGACCTGTCAGCCCGACCTCGGTACCGGGGAAGATCATGGAGCATCTTGAGTGTGCTCACGTGGCACATGCAGGACAACCAGGGAATCAGGCCCAGCCAGCACGGGTTCATGAAAGGCAGGTCCTGCTAGACCAACCTGATCTCCTTCTATGACCAAGTGACCCACGTGGTGGATGAGGGTAGGGCTGTGGGTGTTGCCTACCTGGACTTTAGCAAGGCCTTTCACACTGTCTCCTACAGCGTTCTCCTAGAGAAGCTGTCGGCTCAAGCCTTAGACAGGTGCACTCTTTGCTGGGTAAAAAACTGGCTGCACGGCCAAGCCCAGAGAGTTGTGGTGAATGGATCTAAATCCACTTGGTGACCGGTCACAATTGGTGTTCCCCACGGCTCAGTTTTGGGGCCAGCTCTGTTTAACATCTTTATCAATGACATGGATAAGGGGATTGAGTGCACCCTCAGTAAGTTTGCAGATGACACCAAGCTGGGTGGGAGTGTTGATCTGCTGGAGGGTAGGAAGGCTCTACAGAGGGGTCTGGACAGGCTGGATCAATGGGCCAAAGTCAACTGTATGAGGTTTAACAAGGCCAAGTGCCGGGTCCTGCACTTGGGTCACAACAACCCCGTGCAACGCTACAGGCCTGGAGAGGAGTGGCTGGAGAGCTGCTCAGAAGTAAAGGACCTGGGGGTGTTGGTTGACAGTGGCTGAGCATGAGCCAGCAGTGAGCCCAGGTGGCCAAGAAGGGCCAACAGCATCCTGGCCCGAATCATCAATAGGGTGGCCAGTAGGACCCCGGAAAAGATCCTCCCACTGTACTGGGCACTGGTGAGGCCGCACCCCAAATCCTGTGTTCAGTTTTGGGTCCCTCACTCCAAGAAGGACGTGGAGGTGCTGGAGTGTGTCCAGAGAAGGGCAACGGAGCTGGGGAAGGGTCTGGAGCACAAGTGTGATGAGCAGCAGCTGAGGGAACTGGGGTTGGTGAGCCTGGAGAAAAGGAGGCTGAGGGGAGACCTCATCGCCCTCTACAACTGCCTGAAAGGAGGGTGGAGAGAGGTGGGGGTCGGTCTCCTCTCCCAAATAACAAGTGACAGGACAAGAGGGAACGGCCTTAAGTTGTGCCAAGGGAGGTTTAGGTTGGATATTAGGAAAAAATTCTTCACTGAAAGGGCTGTCAAGTATTGGAACAGGCTGCCCAGGGCAGTGGTGCAGTCCCCATCCCTGGAGGTATTTAAAGGATGCATAGATGTGGTATTTGGGGACACACTTTAGTGGTGAACTTGGCAGTGCTGGGTTTACGGTTGGACTAGATGATCTGAATGGTCTTTTCCAACCAAACTATTCTATGATTCTAAGGTGGACTCTACACAGTATATACAGAGTTACAAAAAATTATTGGGAAATCAGGAAAGGCCAAACCAAACAACTTGCCTTTCCTAGTTGGAATTCTGAAATCTATAGTGATCCAAAGAAACCATCCCTGCCCTGATCCTTCTGACTTTAAGGAAATTAAGAACCAAATTTAAACAATTAAGAGTTCATCTTTTAAGCATTAAGAGTTCATGTTGTGCATGAGCAGAGTGTTCTACTTCATAAACTTTTTCTAAATAAATTACTCGCCAGGCAGCTTGCAAATATAAATGTTTCACTGTTCATCACTGAGCTGGGACAGGAGTTATCACAATTCTGGGGTGGCATGGTCTGCATCATTGCCTTAATGCAAGCACAGCAGGAGCATCAAATGATGCTTCAGAACACAAACTTGGACAAGTGGAGGAATTCTAGCTAAAAACATCTTTAACAACCCCACCACCTCCAGAAAATTGCATAGTGCATTTAGCCCTCTGCAAGCCTAGCAGCAGCGTGGGGCACCCTGGGTTGCAGGGTGTGCAAGCCATGCCACATAGACCTCTACAGAGTCCTCTCTTCAGTCACCTCTAAGGCTTGTCTCTGACTCCTGACTTTCAGAGGAAATCCTGCACCTCCATCCATGGTGCTCCCTCACTCCTCCCAGATTATTTATCCAGGTAAGAAGGCTCCATTATTCCTTCTCTGGGAAAGGTCTCTCTCTCCCTGCAGAGCTTGCACCTGAACTGCAGTGCAAAAGTCAGAATCAGACAAACATCTTACTTAACAATACAGACTAACAAAGAACAGACAAACCCTCTGTCTCAACATCATACTCTTTCTTCATTTTAACACTTGTTAGTATAAAACCACCAGAACCTCCAAAACAACCATTTGGGGACTAATCACGTATAACATATGGTTATAAAACCCAAAGCATGTCATGATACTGGATGGCAGAAGATGCTGTTCCTGCTGTTGGACTTGGATTGTATTTAGTCAGTTGCAAAAAGAAGGTCTTGTCCAGTGGATCAGTTTTTCAAGTAGCCCTGTAAATGGCAACAGAAAGGCACAGGAATGTACAAATACTGTGTACAGTATCATTCAAATGCCACTGGAATTTCCTTCTCTCTCTCTAGACTGATTTATGAGTCAATTCATGACTGAAAACAGAAAGCAAATAAGTCTATATTGGGAATTGTATTGATACAGTTATTAGTAAACTGCCAGTGTTGTTATCTTATGCTTTAATAGGAAAAAGTCAAGAAAGCAACACTGGCAGGATAGAAGACAGCTGTTCAGTAGGCGGATAATGCTTAGAAATGATATATTCCTGAAACTTAAAATAGATATTCAAGTTTCAAATAAAGGTATCCTTCCTTTTTCTGCGCAAATATTTTCCTACATAGGATTCTGGAAGCAAATAAGCTTTCATCATCATGCTGTCTAATCATCATTCAACCCAGAAGCCAAGATGATTATCACAAGAGTGACTTAATGGGTCTCACTAACAGTCCACTCACTGAGCCAGTCCCTGAAATCAGAATGCAACACTCTCAAGTTTCTCTTCCAAAAAGCAAGAAACACACCTGACTTCCAGTCCCGACTCAAAAAGCACTGAATAACTCCAGAGGTGAAGGAAGACACCAGTAGCCAAAACCGCACCAAAAGCAGGGCATTCAGTAACGCAGCCCTGATACTCATGGGAAATTCTCCCAGATTTGTTGCTCCAGCACACCATAAAGAAGCACTAATAAGGACATATGGCTAGTCACACTCACAACACAGATTTCATGTTCAACAGTAGTTTGAAGCTTGAGATCTCACACCAGTGTGCATGCTATGGGGATACCTCCATTCATTTGCAGCCAAATAAGAAAGGAAGTGTACCCGTGCAGAGATTTCAAGTACTTCCAGGAATAGCAAAAGGCATCTTCCCTTTAGCAAGTAGTTATAAGCTTATAATAAAAAGGTAATAGTCTTATCATCAGAATATATCTTCTAAGTACCTACAACAGAGAAACATCCTCTCAGAGAAACAACCTGGTGCCAACAGAGCCATAAACCAGATGGCTGCAGTACATACGCCACAACTGATTCCAGTTTACTGCACTTCAGACATTGCCAATTCAAGGAACATCCCTGCTGAATCAGTCTGCAAATGTTTTTTGTTTCAAATTGCAACAAAGCATTGCTGAATTCGAGCATTTCATCACTGGATTCCCACACATTTGTTGACTGTATGAGATACTCAGTTTCTTAAAAATATAGAAGGAAAGAAAAAAAAAACCCTTCGGCAGAAATAACCAAACTTAATTCAAACAGACCTGGGGAAAGAGATCCTTTTATTTCCCTCAGAAAGGTGCTGAAGGATAGCAGATGGATAAACAGCACATTCTGATTCTAAGGAATAAAACCCCAAGTGCCTACTCAAAATTTCAAGGTATAGGCAATGGAACTGTATTTGCGACCAGCCTGAAAATTCATTTTACTCCAATGCAACATTTTCTGGAAGACTTACACAGTCTAAGTGAAGATATATCCTAAGGCATCAAGGTATAGTCAATAGAATTGTATTTGTTACCAGCCTGAAAACTCATTTTACTCCAATGCAACATTTCCTAGAAGCCCTAAATAGACCTAAGTGGAGATATGTCCTGAGAATGTTTTTGTTGTTGTTGGTTTTTCGGGGGGTTTTGGTGTGGGGTTTTTTTGTTGTTTGTTTTTTGTTTTGTTTTGTTTTTTTTAAACCAATAGCAATAATAAAGCTTCTGTTAGGAAGAAACCCCTCTTGAGTTCCGTATACAAGAAAGTTCAGTCTTTAATTTACTGGATCTTTAAACTGTTGCTTGTCTCTGAGAAACCCCATTTTTCATTTCTCAAGCACAGCCTATGTTATTCAAACATATATAAAAATTAATTTAATCTTCTCATTTTCTTCTGGCCTGGTGGGTTCCAGTTAGAAGGAATTTAGCATGAGCATGCCAAAGCAAAGAACACAGTTGCATGAAAAAGCCTTTTAACAGATTTCTAGTATTGATAACATTTGTTTTCCCAACTCAGCAGCACATCCATATATTGGCCTCACCATTTCCATCTCCCAGCACTATTCTTCCTCTGCCTTCTCTGTCTTTTAATTACATAACTGCCATCTTCAGTTTCCTTTACATCTCTACCCCAGGTAGTGATACCCACCACACTCACACTGGGTACCCTCACAGACCCCTGGCTCATAGTCCCTCCATCTTTCCTGTTCTGAAGCTGGGCAGCTGTCAAGTAACTCAGTAAGTAAAGTTTTTGTTCAGTTGGGTTTTACCTTTCTATGTGCTTCACAAGTTTTGAGCCCAGTGTACTCTCAGTTATTACCTCTCTGTTTCTTTTAACTGTGGTTGCTGAAGTATCTTGCGTTTACTGTTTGAAAGGAAATGTGCAAAGCAAACATCTGTAATCCTGTGAATAAAATAACAAGTTCTCATCTAATGCTTTGCCATATATGAAAAGTAGATGGATGGAAAGTTGTTTCCAGTTGTTGTTTCTATTCTATAGAAAAGCACTGGCTATTGCCATCACCATATCTCACAGCCCATTGCATAAGCTTACTTAATTCCAACCAGAGATTAGAAAACCTGCCCTCATGGTTATTCTCCAGAGGCTGTTCCACAGACTCCCTGCTCTCATCACTGAAGTTGTCTTCTACTTCCACCTTTAATTTCCTTACAGCAAATTTATTCCATTTTTTCTTTTGCAAATGGTAAGCTTAAACAGACCATCTTCCTCCCTGCTGCTTATCTCCCTCTTCCCCAACATAGTTCAAGCATAAACAGGTTCAAACAAGGATTAAACCAATTCACAGAGCCATCACTGCCAGCTATCAAACATAGCATCTACTGCTCAGAAAATCTTTAAGCCATGGATAGTTGCAAGAGTAAACCAGTCACTGGAGCTCTACACACACGTCTTACACCTCCACTTTGGGCTTCACAATTTCCCTTTAGAAACAGTCTATTGGGACAAACCTAGTATGGCTATTTTTACTTTTTTGAAACAGCATCGTTCCTGTCCTCCTCCTGTCCCACACTACCAAGCCGCTTTTGAAAGATTAACTCATACTATCCTCTCTCGAGACATTTTCATATTTTCCTTATTACCACAGAATACTCTCCAGTATCCATCCCAGTCTGAAGTCTCCTTTCTTGAACATTGTGGTGGTTTGGGTGGATTCACCCTTATGGCTTGTACCTTGCAGCCAGACACAGCCTGCTCTATCACCATCCCCCCCACCTTGCCCAGGGAGTGGGGGAGAGAACTGGAAGGAAAGTAGGGGAGAGAATTGGAAGGAAAGGACATAGCCACAGCTGTCCTCTGCAGGAATGAATTTCCTCTTAGTCATTAGCTATTTCTTAAATTTAGTTTTCTTCTATTTTCTACTTCATGACCTCTGCTCTGTACAATAGCTTTGTACCTGTTTCCTTGATGCTGCTGGTGTGAACCTAATTTTCCTCTGCTCTCTATAGCATTTGCCCCATGCTGAGATATCACAACTCTATTGTAACATTATAACATCTTGGACAGATGTCCAAGATACATCTGAATCGAGCCTGGACGTGATTATCAGCAGCTTTTCACCTCAAATACTGAAAATCACCATTCAGTAGAGTGTTCTGGTGAACTCCAGAAACAAACATCCTGAATCTAACTGAGATGTTTCACCAGTATTAGCTGTCTGATAAATAAGCCATTGCAAACAGTCCCAGTCCTAACTATGACGTATTTGAAACTCCACACACATCAAAAATACAAGCATAAACAATGTCCATCTGTGGTCTCAAGATGAACCATAAGAAAAACAAATGACCCATGATTCACTGGTATCCCTTGCTGGATCATCCAGTCTGGCTTTCCCAAACAACTAGAGCCTGAGGCAGATAGAAGATTTGACTCTTTATATTCCTATAATTGCTGACATGGATTTGCAATAAGTCTGTTTACACTTCACAAACTGTTCTGATTCCTTAGACTTAGTCCATCAGGCTGGAATGTCAAGAAAAACAAGAGTGAACAGAAACAGCCCCACCTTCCTACTCAAGACTTAACCCATATGGCAGAAATTTATATTCCATTTCAACTAAGATATTTTGCTCTCAAGCAGGAACATAAATTTGAAAGCAAATCAAGAAACTGTTTTACAAGCAAATAAAAATAACCTGACCAAGACAGATCCCTATGTTAATACTTTTTGCTCTCTCTCTTTTTTTCCACTTTAATCAAATTCTTTCTAAATTTCTCCATTGTTTGTGCAAGATCTCATTTATTCTGCAAAGTCACAGCTCTTTGAAGCACTCTTCTTTGAAGAAAGGGCTTAGTTTTTGAACACTGCATAAAAAAACCCCAACAAAATAAATAGAAATGCTAGTAGAAAAATGAAATACTGCCCAAACACTCAAACAACATCTTCCTATCTTACCCATCATCTGTGGTGGCTCAGGTCCAGGTCTCAAAAGCAATTCAGCCATGAGACCCTACTGTTAAAAAGATGCCTTGCAAATCTGCACTTGGTAGAGAGAATCTGAGTTAAGCCCACAGACTCTATCCCTTAAGCAGGAACCCAGTGCTGCTTTGAAGAGCTTAAAACAGTAAAACAGGCTGATGGTTAAAACAAGCAACCTGACTGGGATACCAGGGCAGGAGGGACAGAACAAGAGTCAGACTATCCAGCCTAGAACCCTATTCACCCAGCCCACTGTCTCTCTTCTATGCGGCATATGTTAGCATATACACCACATGAGCTGACATTGAGAGAGATTAAATATTACATGGCTTGAAACCAAATAGATGTGAAAGAGTCAAGAATTAAACCTTCTTTTAAAGCACATCAAGCACAATGTTGCAAAGAAGTTCTTTGTCAGTGGAGCTGTCTGTGCCCACAGGGCAATGGGGGTAGGTTTAGCCCAATGACACCTTTTCAGAATATATGCAGTCATTTTAATAAATGCAGCTTCACTGATCACAGAGGCATTACCTATATGTTTAGGAAAGCTCTGGAAACACTTGCAGAGCAGTGGCATTCCACTGGGCACTACTCACTCTGTAAGCAGTCAGCGTTGAGCAAATCTTGGCACTTCTCATGGCACTTGACTCCACATTCTCCGCAGCGCATTCCCTGCCGTGCAATACCCCACAGCAGCCCCTCACATTCGTAGCAGTAGGTGGGAGTGGTGGCTGTCCACACTTCAAAGTTGTGGGGGGTTGTACAAGAGATGGGGTAAATTAAGGCTTGCAAGGTCTTCTTATAGACATGAGATTTCTGAAAGCCAAAAGCTCACATAAACCAATATCCAGGAAGGTGACTGAACTATTTTTGCTGGTTAACACATGAGTTTTAAGGGAAAAGGCATGAGCAGTGCAATAAATCTACGTATTTGAGGTGGCCAGATTTATCAAACTTTTACAAGCAGCAGCAGAGGACACCCTTCAAAAAACGTTTCTCCAGACATTTAAAAAAGCAGAGGAGATGGAAGAAAAAAAAGAATTAAGGTTTGTGGATGAGTGATATCTTGCATAAAGCAAATTTCACACAGTCCCCCATGGTACATAGCACGGAGGAAATGGTAAGTTACATTTTTCAAGGTCATATCGACACATTAAAAGTTATTTTTTTACATATTTGGTTTCTCTAAACAAATTATACAAGAAGCTTTGCATCTATATTTTTAGACATCTGTGAAGCTGGCTCTGCATTCCAGAGAGCCAAATTCCCTTAATTTGCTTACTGAAAGTTAACAGGAGCCAAGCAACCCTCCCACTTACCAGCTCTTCATCTTTGAGAGATGTTCTAGTGGCCATTGCTGAGGTAATTCCGGCTTTCCGGGACTGAACCAGTGACTAAGAAGAAAGAAAGTTTGTTATTCACCACCAATATTCAGAAAAGCACTGGCTCTACACACCCAGAGATGTGACCAAGGGGACTCTGTCATCCCAGACACCAAACCAGCAGTGTATTACATTCAAGTAGGTATCTTAAATGATAGCTCACATTTCAGAAGAGTCAAATGCACACTGAGAGGTCTCCAACTTGGTCCACCTGCCCACAACCAGTGTCACTCTGGTAATTTCATTTGTTTCTCTGGTAAGAATTTCCAATGAAACCCGGGTTCACATCTCCACTTCTATTTTCTGGTAGCAATGATAATTCTGCTATTGCCTAAGATTACTATGTGAGACTCACTCTTCTACATCTAACTTTATTCATAGGCAAAAGGAGATTATTTCATCAGTTTTACAACATACACAACACCCTCAAATGTGGCAGTGTATGGGTTACAAATAAACAGGTTAAAAAAATAACAGACTGGGTTGGGAGCACAGGTTTGAATGTGCTGCTGTATCACATTCATTGGCCATCACTGAATACAATGAACAGCATTTTCCCCTCAAAACTGCCTCCTTCACATCATGCTAGCACCAAGTTCTGTAGCCTTGGACAGCACAAGGCAGTGCCTTTGCAGCATCTCACACTGGCATACAAAGGACTTCTTCAGCAAGTCACTCCAGTTAGATGAAGGCAGAAATGGAAATTAAAGCTAGCAGTATCTGCTTTGGAATCATCAAACCCTATCAGAAACCTCTGTTTATACTCTGATTTATCCTGTTTGAAGATAGACTGAAAAAGTTCATTCCATCAGTGATGGAGCAGGACAGAGTGCTGTATACGCATGCACTGCAATACAGCAGGTTTAAAATAAAAAGCAGAAAAGTGGAGGGAAAGTAAGGTAAAATAATTTTTGTTTCTGGTGAAGATGTGGCACATAATCTTTAGCTCCACTTACCATGGCCTGCAGAGAGAGAGAATGAAAGCATACAAAGGAAGTAACACAAGTTAATGCCATTATTGCAAAGATTTAAGATACAAGCAGTTAGTAAGACACATATTAAGATTCCCATGCATAAGCTGGAAAGAGAATTACATGCATCTTTTCAAAGGATATGGAAACTTCAGTCTTTCAGCTGCTAAAGCATTTTTCCAAAGTACGAAATTGCTACGTGTACCAAAAACAGCCAACAGAAAACCATTTGTCCCACAAAAGCCTTATTTCACCATATCACACAAGCATATGAAACTTGTCCTCATTACTTGCTTGGTTCTTGTGCTTCCTCAGTGCAGAAGCCTACTGGCAATATTGCAAATTACTTGAAAAATACAAGCACATATGTTCATTTATCTATCCTCTGAAATTCCAACCTTCTGGTAAGCTGCCAAACTTCACATGGACATTGTAACTTTCCCCAAAGTATGTGATTTTTATGAAAACATTTAAAAATAATGCAAGTTTAAAAATAATCAAATATTCTGTGTAGAAAAAAAAACATGAAAAATACCTTAATTCTGCCAAATGAATGAAACTGTCTATGAAACCACAGCTCATTCTCACTGAGATTTTTACAAGCACAACTCCTAACCCCTTACTGTAAGAATTAATTTAACTAAACAGGAAACCTTCAACTCCTTGAAGTGACAATGAATGTTACCGTATGTCAAAAAGCAAAGCCACTTGCACCAATGACTGTGTGGCTGAAGAAAAATCTCTTACCAGATCACTGACAAGTGGAATAGGCTTTTTTTTCCGTAAATCAGGCATGCTATCGATGCCATAGAGACCACCTGCAGGCCTGGAAATTCAAGAGAAAAAAAAAAAAAAAAAAAAAATTAAAATCTCACCAGCAGTGACACACAGTAAATAGATGAGCAAAAAGCTTCCTTAAAACATCAAACCCTTGCTAATATCACATTCAATGAGAAAAGGAAGAATCAGTCCACGGCAAGCGCAACTTAATAATAAACCGAAGCTGTTAACACACTAAAAAAAAAAGGTCATTTTCCCATTCTCAGAGCTGAGGGTCTGAGCTAGCTCAGAGTAGGTTGGGCACGTGCTTGCAGAGCGCCCAGTGTTTCAGAGTCACTGCTGCCAGCGTTGTGGGTAAGGGCAGCCTAATCCCTGTCACTTCTATGGGGCACCGTTTTGTCAAAAATACTTACCTAGCTGCAGAACCAGAGCTCCATGGCAGTCATTCACATGCAGCTTACTCTGTGGTAACTGAGCCACAAGCCTCTGCTTTCAGAAGTACCTTTTGTTCCTTAGGAAGATCTCAGTTTATAGTTTACTATTGGTATTGAGCGTCATGGCAGGGAAGACTTCGGAAACACCCTGTCTCCAGTCTTTCTCCACCTACTTTCCTTCCATTTAATTAATTTCAGGTTGGGGCGTAGGGGGGATGCTTTACTGGAGGAAGTAAAATCAGCCAGAAGATTATACTTAAGGAAGTGTAAAGTTAATGCTAAAAGTGATTAAGTGTTTATCTTCCTCATGCACAAAAATCCAGACGTTCTTGCCCAATGTCAGTGGTTGGGAGGGAGCATGTCAAAGTGGATCAGCCCATGGGCAGGATGCTGCTACTCATAATCTGATTCTAGGCGAGAACATACTTAATCCTGGCCCCTGAGGTCCATATAATTATTAGAGGAAAAACTTCACATCTGAGGAGAAAGGGGATTTTATTTGGTGCTTAGCATTTCAAGCCATACAGACCTCTACACACAAGAGCTGCCACTCACTGATGGAGGTGGTGATGAAGCAAAAAGGACATTACTCCAGCAATTTGTGGAGTCTGCAGAAATAAAATGTGACAGCCTTCTTCCTTCTTGATGAGGCCGGCCTGAATAATTTGTATTTGGATCCTGCCATGCACTGCTAACACTGCACAGATGTATGCCTGTGCTTGAAGAAGGTCTGTTAATTCAACTTAAAGGACTCAAGTAAATAAACTGCATACATCTGCAAGATAATGCTTTTTGGTAAGGTTGGGAACTGGGCACACATTTCTCTGCTGTTGCCCCAAACTGGAAAAAAAGACCTGTGATGTGATTCCCTCCCTGCAATGAACACCCAGCTGCCAGCCAAAACCCACAGCCCCTCTCAGTGTCTCATTCAACTTCCCCATCTCCACACTGTTCTCTTACCTTGGTAACACTAAGAACATGTCTCCTGAGGACTTCTTCTTGGCTACAGAGACTGCAAACAAACCTTCTGCCTCCTGCCTATCCTTAGCCATTCATTTTGACCCCATACCATGCTGGCTTATACCTTTTTGCAGCTGCGTGATAAACTGACTCTCATTTTTAACCTGCGTATTTTGATTATTTGGGACAGCACAACCAGCTGAAACGCTTTAGGACACCACAACTACAGGAAAGAGCTGTGTGGTCAAACTTTTCTAACTGCAATAAAAGACACACATGGAGCTATCCTTTAAAACAGTCTAGGAAATCAAATTACCACTACAAATTTGCACATGACATGAAAACTGAGAGGCTGTTAAGTAACAAGAGGCAACATGCACCCCTCAGCAAGCAGGATCTACTCAAATCTCCTTTCAACACAGCCAAAAGTCAAAAAAACATCTAGGAAACAACAAATAATGACCAAACCCACATTATAGCAGCCCACACTCCAGGATGGACAAGGATATCACAGCACAGCCTAGCACAAGGATGTGTCAAAGATGGAAATGGTCTATTAGACACAGAACCCTGCCACAGCGCTGTAATGGTAAAACTGACATTTTTGGCAGAGCGTAGGAGGGTGACATGTCCACGCCATGGCTGAGTTGACAGCTGCTGCTGGCTGAACAAGCCTGGTAGGAAGGTGAGCAGTCACACGTAACTGCACAAAATGTGTCGGCTCTGCATGCGGCATGAGTCACATCGGCACCGCAGCACCGTGCACGGCTCTCTGCACTCCTACACGATGAACACAAACACTTGCAGTCAGCTGCGACAACTAGACTTCACGGCTGGGAACGGAAGACAAACTTAGACATGAGAAAGGTGGAGATTTACAGCAGTTAATTAGAACTGTTGTAATCTTTGGCCAAGAATAACAACAGTTTTTCAACACTGGAAATCCCTACAGTAAGGCTACATAGTGTTTCTACTAGAGGCTACCAACACTTCCAACAGAGCTCCAGAAAACTTATTGCCCAAATGACACTGCAATAATCCCTTCTGGCTTATTATACAAAAATCTAACCCACATCAAGAAATAAGAAATATCTCCATAAAGTGTTCAGATTGTCAGAACTAAGAACAGTCTCGCTGGGATCAAACCAGGAATTTCATCTGCTGCTCTGATGCTACGGACCTTTTCCAATACTAGTGATACTGTTTTGAAGTAAAACAGGTGTCATAGAAGACTACCCAGATGAGGTCAAGAATTCCAGCATTATTTAAATCACAATACATCTTATTGGTAAATTTTGGGTCAAAGATTTGTGTCAAATCACTTGAATCATGAAAGCATACACAAAATAGAAAGGGAGAGTCTGTAAGCTAAAAAGATGCAATGAAATGGTTCACAAGTGAAAGTCCAGAGTCAGTACTCCTGCAAAAAATCATTGGCATAGCTGGGAATTTACATTTCTTTTCTACACTATTTCCAATGATTTATTTTTTTTTCTAATTCAATTGAAACAAAACTGTGATACTCTTGACATTTCCCAGGAAAGAAAAACATTAAAACTGCATGTTTTAGAAATTCAGGATGAGCCTAAACAAGTCACTGTGCTTGACAAACGTGTCTAGTTACAACCTGGCTTGTTGCAAAATATTTATGACAGACTGAGGTTTATGACAGAACCGGTTGTAAGCCAGATTGACAGAGAACACGCATATTTGAAGGTGCATGTATTTACCACTGAAGAGAGGTATCCCAGTACCTAGACATTTATACACTCAGATGACCTGCTTTTAACTCGTTAATATTTTAAAAAATTAAAAAAAAATACAACAGAATTTTCAACAACAATTCTTAATTTTCAAAACTATTCAGCTTGTTGTGCTTTCAGCTACCTCAGTCTCCTTATTCAAGTACAATCTCTACTTTGCTTAATAAAATTACAGTGTTCGCACAGACTGAAAGTGCCTCAAATATGCACACTGTAGCTTTATATATAACAGGGTAACTTTCCTCTGCAATGCATGTAATATTTATAGCATTATTACGGAGTGCTGTATTGAGGAGTGAATAGCATTTCTGTATGGGAAGATGATTTGCACTAATAAATAAAATATATAGATATAAGATATGACACCCAGAGACTGATCCATAATGCCAATTGTACTTTCTTTGAATTTATCTCTCCAAAGCCAGTGACTTCAGACAGGGAGCTACTGTGGGATTATGCTGAAAGAGCAAATAGCTTGAAGCATATATTCATCTTTCAGTACAAGTTTTTTATCACACAGATGCTTCCATTAAGTCTTCAAAATTTAAGCAAGCAAGGATGGTTTGCAATGACAGAAGATTATTACTTCCTTCAAAGGACACCACTTCTCTAATCTTCATATGAAAGAAGAACTCCAACCTAAGTGCATTAACATATTTTGTGGCTAATAAACCACAATGTGGCTAACAGTGGAATTAAAGGTTCACCACCCACAACCACCTCTTCCAGAAATCCCTTGAATGTGGGGATACAGTGAATAAACCAGACTTCTGTCAAAACTACATTAGGCAGATTGTTTTGTTATATCTCACATAGAAAAGGAAAAAATTAGACCAGAGCAAACATTGCCTTGAATTCACAAAACACATTTTTAAGTATTTCAGGACTGTTATGTGTATTCACCTTTCAGGTCAGGAAATCATTTTGTGTGTGTGAACCAATAAACTCAGAACATCATCTCCTTGTCAAAGCAGGAGAACATGCTGTTTATAGTTAGAATACATCACTGTCTTCTGCTCCTGCTAATTGCCAGTCCTCCAGCAGCCTGCTCAGTGAAGTCCTGGCCTCCCTAGGAAAGCACAGGGTTGCTAGGCAGCTCCAGGCATCTGCAGGTGAGGAGGATGCTTTGCGGGAATACCAACATCACAGAACAATGACTCCAAATGCAGAAAGCCATATAATGAAGTCTCCGATTTAACTTTGCATTTTATTAGGGAAGCTTCCTTCAGCAGTATGAGAATTAACTTAATGCACGTAGCAAGTCAACCTCTTGCTGAGATTTCAGTGTAAATCTGCTGCTACATCAGCTCCTAATGAGTGCACCACCACCAAACCGTATCACTCCAATTGCGTACGAGGCACATAACCTAGCAGCTCACAAAATGTGTCATTGTCTTTTTTTTTTTTTTTTTTTTTTGGGGAGGGTTTGATTCTAGGGAAGCTACCATGCTGGCAACTGTTATGCAGAGTGTGATGCTGAAATTACACACAATCAGAATTCATCTGCTTCATTTGCTGAGAGTACTGTGTTGCGTAGAGAATGCACAGCCTGTCACTCTTACCTGGGCAAAAGAGGTAACATGATCACTGCTTTAAAAAAGGGAAATTACAACAACTTCCAGAGTTACTGCAATTTTAACTACCACAAGGACATAGAAATCATTGCAAAGACAGAAAACTTACCCAAAGCTACTTTTTTCTTCTAAGAGCAAAACACACAACAATCTTTCTGAGTTATTCTTCCAATTCCCTGGTGCCATCAGTGACTGACTCATGAAAAAGGATCTCATCCAGACCACTTTGTGGTGCTCAGTAAGGATTATTTAACACTGCTGCCATAAGTACTTGGCACCATCATGTTACAGATTATACATTGCAACTATAATCTTGGTCTTAGCCACAGACCTCTTGAAGAGCTGCGCAGCCCACCTCCAGCTATTTAAGAAGAAACTCTGAAATATAGCAGCAGCTTGGCCTTAACTGAGGCATGGCCACTTGGTTACTCCTGAAAACAGCCATTAAAAACATCAGAAGTGCTGCTTCTACTTAGGTTGAACTCCAGATCTCAAAGTACACTGTAATTATAAACATAGAGAAACAAGGTCTCAAAATACCACTTACCCTCCCTTGAGCCAGGGTGGTTTTGATGGATCAGCCTCATCTTGACCCTTAAATAGGGGAAGGGAAAAGAACAGTATGAAATTAGTTTCCAAAAACATCAGAAAAAATATTCAGATTATATTCTGAGGAAAGGATAACAGACCACACTGCATGCAGGCAAATGCATACAGAAACTTATTCAAGCACCTCCAATGACCAGCATGTCAGGACAAGTCCTACGGACACAGACAGGCTATGCAATACCATTGAACACTAGAGCCAGGACATGAAGAGCCTGTTCAGTACATCTCTTCTTTCAAAATGCAGTCTCAAAGACCAATTCTTTTTTTTTTTTTTCCAACCCAACAAAAGCATGAGTTATTGAAGAGCTCCTGTCACTCCAGGTCACCACTTACATGAACATGGTCATAATGAGGATAATAAAAATTAAAAGCACCTGTATGAAATGCACAAATGAGTGATCAACATGAAACTTTGTACAAACATTTACGAGCTTTGTTCATGCTCAAATGCAAAGACTTTTTAGCCCCCTAAGCAGAGAAGTTCCATTGCAGCTCCAGCCATTTATATTAATTTCCAACAGGTGTCAAACAAGGGCCATCACTTGCAAGATGACTGCAGGTGAACTGGGATCTCAAAGTATGATGGAGAACACCACAGGCTGCAATACGAGCATTCATATTAATGGATTCAACTCGTTCTTTTGTTCATATTAGGACTGTATTTATAGAGTGATGTTTTATTTCTTTGAAAATCTTCAGTGGACTGATTAGAACTGAGGAGTGTTTAAAAACTTGCAATGTACCTGGAAGAAACAGAAGGTTTGGGGTAAGGGGAAAATTGTTTACCTATAACTGGAAACCTCTTTGTTCCAGCTTACCGTTCATACATTCTCCTGCACTCCCTGAAAGAAAAGATGGCTTCAAACAGGAGTAAGCAAGACACAATGCTAACAGCTAATGCTCCAACCTCAGATAATCATGTCTGCCAAGAGTGTAAAGAGGCTGTAACCTGCACACAGTGGAAAACAAGGTATTTTCAGCCATGGGACCTGCAACCTGAGAATCATCACAAAGTAAAGGAGTATTGGTCAGGAAATAAGCTCCAGTTTTATGCAAGGTAAAAGGAAACAGCCCCAAAATAAAGATTCATTTATTTTGTCCTGTGCAAGATTAATTTATTTGGCATGAGCTGTGCAACCTTGGGTTTTTCACAGGTGACAGGTGAGGCCTGTGAAGAAGAGCAGAAAGAACGAAGGAAAACAAATTTCTATTTGAGATCTCAATTTGTAAAGCAGCAAAAGTCCATACTCTTTGCTAGTTAGTCCTACAACTTGAGAGCTAGGCAGATCTGAAGACTACATAATTTTTATTATTTTATTTTTAAACAGGCATGAAGAACATTACATTATCCATAACTGAATGGACACTCCAGCTTTTCTACATGATCACACAGGTCTGCAGAACAGGCAGGAGCCCAAACCCATGGTCCAGCACAAGTGCACATCCCCCACAGCCAGAGCAGCACACCAGGATCCAGGCTTCTGCAGGAAGGATCATGCTCTACACATCCCTGCTTCAAGTCGTGCTTCCAAAACCCCTCAGCTTGAAACCTGCATTTCCTCTGGAGGGATCTGAATCAAATGCTGGTCAAGAGAGTAGATTTAATGATGCAAATCCAACCAGATCGTCCAGAACACACAAGAGAGGACATCTCTACCTTTGCCTTTGAAGACATGGAAGAGCTGTGGCCAGAAAGCAATCTTAAAACAGAGCAATACTTTATAGCGGACCAAGCATAGCATGGGTCAGTTCAGCTGTACTGATTGATAGAAAACAACAAACACAAATGTAGCAACGTTTTCTGGTAAAGGGAATCCATGCAGTAGGTTTTTCAATCAGTTTATGTGAGAAACTAAGTATAAGCAGCCAATATTTGAGACATTAACAGATCACAAATAGTGCAGGCAATATTGCAGCCTGGAGACCACAAAAGCATCAAGAACTCTTTTCAGGGGAAGAAGATCCAGGGATAGTTGTTATCTAACTAAGCAATAACCATTTCCTATAGGCAGCCAAAAGTCAACAGAGAACACCTGGTAGTGTGGATGCAGGGAAGGGCAGAAAGCATGATCAGGAAACAAACCTCCATCATCTCCCAGATTTTGAGACAAGCCAAGTAAAAATTGCCAAGAGTCCAGATAAACTGTACTTCCATTAATTTATTTTAATTACTTTTGCCAAGCCTTTCAGAACATGCAAATAAAAAGAAAGCACGAGAAGAGGAAGAGCTTATCTAGGGTCAAGATTAAATATCATCTGGGTACAACAGCACAAAACAAAAGAAAGAGCTTTCAGTAAGTGACAATATTGATGCAGGGGCAAGGCAGGTGATGGCTGTGTGGAAACAGGGCTCATCACCTGCTGAAAGCAAAGTAAAGAGGTAATTTGCTGCAGGCAGTATTCTCCCTGAGAAAATGCCAAGAGAACCAGCATCTGACATCCATCAAACAAGGGCTGATGCCTTAAGACTGCAGAAGAGCCAAGGCAATACCCAGAGTTAAGGTGTGTGGGGGATGACAGAAAATGTGATCTAGAGTAGCGTAGGCTCATTATTGGCTTCAACAGCTTGAAAGACTTCAGAGCAAACACGAAGGAAAGAATTAATATTGAGGCAATCAGAAAACAGGAAAAATATATAGGGTAGACCAGTCTTTGAAAGCATTTTTTGTTTAACAAAGCAACCATTTTTCTTTAGACTGTAAAATGAATTATCAACTGAATTTTCATTTGAATAAGAAAAAACTTTAATGGAATGCCATGTGACGTTAATAAAGACGGATAAGCTGAGAAGGAGTAGGGAGCTTTAAGGTGGGTAAACAAGTAACTGTAACTGAGCCAGCCATGGACAACGCAGTAAGGAAGCTAGTGGGAGTAAGTAGGATCTGCTGATAAAATCTGCTGATGACGAACACCAGAGAATTATTGACACAGAACCCTGAAAGCCAATGGAAAGAACTGATGGCAGTGAAGATTGCAACAACAGAGGTTTAAACATGGTACAAATGGTAAGGTCAGAGACCCAAAGCCTGTTGTGAATTTGACTGCATCCAAGCACGTGACAAGAGATGACAAGTTCTAGTCATTACACTGGCCATGAGCCACTGTAACACAGTCATGTAAGGAAAGAACATCATCTATAGAGTGTGTCCACTGAAATGTCTCCATAGAAGTAAAAGTGTAAATACCACTGTACTGAGCTGGAAGGGGTCCTTCAGAAAGGCATATACAATCTTTTTATTCTATATCAAAGTAAAAAGAATTCACAAAATGGCAAAAGCAATATAAGAACTGCAGCTAAATATAAATGGAGGATGAAAATGGTCCGGTGTCTAACCATGACAGTTCTCAGGTGTCTAACCAAAGGCTACTACAGTTCTGTAGTAGCCTTTCAAAAGAAGAAGCAGACACCAAACCTAGCCAGTTTTAAAGAAGGAAATTGGCCAGTTTTACATGAGGTAATGGCACATTATCACACAGTGGCCTAGGACTGGCAAGTCACCAAGAAGTCCTCCACAGTTCCTTGTTGCAGTGACATATATATAGAAGAGCCAGAGGCTTCATTATCTACGAGTGTTGGCATGAGGGTTAACACAGTCCAGACACCTCTGGGAGTGCCAGTTAAACAAAGTAATACATAGTTTACGTCACTGTTGTGGGTAGGAACACTTCACATATTCCTCCTCATTTAAAGAAGGCAAATAGCAATGCTGTTTAGATGGATTTGCTGCACCTGGGGAGTTTCCCCACCCTCAGAAGGCAGCACTTGCACCAGGACGCAGGAAGGCTCCAGTAGCTGCTCTGGGTCTTGTCACCAGCCATGGATCTGCTCATGTTCAGCCCATGAGGACAGCCTGGCTTGCTTAGAGCCTAGGCAAGCAGAGGAAACAACAGGCAGATGAGAACAACACTGGAACAACTGTCAAGAGTTCTTAGCACTGTCCTTCCCAAAACAAATGGGAGGGCAAAGGGAAAGTAAATGCATTTAACAGTGAGACATCCACATGCTGCACATCACAGGAAGTGTTTTCTGGCTTATGCTTCACTTCTCTGCACAGCTGTCACTTGATCTCTCCTTGAAAGCAGACAGACTAGTCTGAATCTGATTTTTTTTTTTAATCTTCAGTAAGCACATAAAGCAGCACTGAAAAGGTGGGGAAGCAAACATGTAAACAAAACAGACTATCACATCTCTATTCATTTTCTTATTTCTGATGCTGATAGATGATGGTTTTACACCCACTGTCCAACAAATACCTTCACCTGGGGAAGCGCTTGTCACTCCTAGTAAGGCAGTATATTCACTCATAATAAAGCATGCTGCAATCAGTTGCTCAAAGGTCTTCTCCAAGTAATTAAAGTTTCTTATCAGCCAAGAAACATTTAGCAAAATAATTCCAGTGACAGAATAGCATAAATTTCATTCCCTGGACTAAATAAGTCAACAGATGTGATCGTTTAAGGCACAGTGTTCAGTCACAGGAAAGGCAATGTTTAAAGGAGTTAAAAAGGAAACTAACAGGAGTTTTGCTTACTCAGAAAAAGCAGCAACTAGACTTACAAGTAATTTGAGAAGTTATTTAACCAACCTGCAATTTGTAAATTTCACAATTTATCTCATACACAAGAAGAAGTTTCAATGGAGAAAACAAACAGTTATGTACTCCTGTAGAAGAGAAAGTCCATAAAATGGACAGAGAGGCATAAAAAAAATAACTCACTAAGTCTGGAACAGCACAAGAAAAAGAAAGAACATCCCCAGATCTGTTAGCCCTCTCCATATAAATCAATCTCTCTACATAAAAGGCTTTTTAACAATGTAAATTTCCATCACATTTAAGTACAGTGACTAGCACATTATCCTCTTAGATTAAAAAACAGATGTAAAACACAGAAAGCTGCTTTATTTAAACAGATAAAAAAATTAATAATGACTTTTTATTTGTTTTGAAAATCATCCTAACTTGTTTTCAAATACCACGCTTCATTATTAAACCTCAAAGACCTCAATTTAGCTATAGATTAATCTGAATCAGGCTAAAACAAGGAGCAACTGTTTCACTGTCTAAATTTAACTTCTGGTCATGCCTAATTAGACCATTTCTTCAGGAGTGTTAGCAGAATCAGACTGAACTAAATCATCCCAATTAAAATAGTCAGTCTTGTGGTTCAATGTCTTCATTGACTCAAGTATGCTACGTTTTACATGGAATCCAAAGCTGCAACAAGCCAAGGGATTATTCTAAATACACTTCATTCTGCAACAGCGTCGATTTAAATAATGACTGAAGAGCCCCAAAGGAAGCTCCTTCCACCTGATACATCCTCCAGGATCAGTTTTCCAGCTGCCAGATGAGCAGCTTAAAGGATGCTGCAATGTTTTTGCACTGAAGCCAGAAAAGGACAAAATTTGACACCAATATTTGACACCAGTTATCTCTGCATTCCTGGAAAAGTATTAATGGACAGACATTTACCAGTAAGAATGAAACAAAACTGCTGCTATATTGAGCTAACAAAGCTCAGAAATGCAAATTCATCAAACTCAAAGGATAAGATCTCCACAAAGGTCCAAAAGCCATGCAATGCCAAGCCTACTCCAGGAAGCTGATTTAGCCTGATTCATACAACTAAGGGAGAGGTAGAAACACAGGAGTCACTGAATCCACATAGCATAGATTCGAGAAAATATGAAAGTTGAGAATCCAATAGGCAGAAATTTCTCTATATGAGTACAGTTGCAAACTATGTTACACAGCAGCCAACCAAAACATTCTGTGGATCCTCTTAGGAGGAAAGAGTTACCTGTTGCCCACAGGTTGATAAGCAGAGGCAAGCGGTCCATGAGTGGAGAAGCAATAGCTGTAGGCATTAAGTAAAAAATCCTACCTTTCCCATGGGGCACATGGCCCTGCTCAAAGCAAAGTGCAGCCTGTAGCTAGCTAAAAAGGCACGGGATCTGCAGCAGTCACCTCCCAGCATCCATAGTCTTGTTTAGTATCAGTACTATAGCCCACAGTGGTACTTTTTACTCTAATTGCTATAAGTGTACAAACCAGATAGAGATGGAATGAAATAATACAGCTGAGGAAAAATGAGTAAATACTTGGTTTAAACAAGATTCATAAGGAGGAAGACTGGAAAAGACAAGATAAACAAATTGTGCTCTACTACTGCGATGCCTGTGCACATCACACACACCCCACAGAGCACCAAAGGGAGATCACTCCAAGTACTTGTGTTTTCCTCTTTGTACAAAGTAACATGCACTGAACAGACTCTTAACTCATAACACAGTGTTAACAATTCCTCTGACAACCACAACATGCTAAACTGAATCTCAGCGCCTCAGCGGGAGCAATCAGCTACATGAAGACAAGGCATGCACACACAGGAGTTTCCAAAAGAGATGCTGGTTACAAGAAACAACATGTACAACCTGGAGCTCTCCTCTACCTCCTTCTGTGAAGAAAAAAAAAGAGAAGAAGGAGAGGAACAAAAGTTAATAGACCACATTTCTGCCATGAGCTCTGTAAAATGATTTCAGAAAGTGGGGTAAACATTTGCCACAAGTTGATAAAATATTTGTGCAGTGGAGAGTTTTCCATGTGCTTCCTGGGATATACACCAGTTAATTAATCTCTACCAATTAATCTCAAGTTAAACTAATCAAATTTCATCCATAACTGCACACGCACTAGAACATATGCTTTTGAGAGCTGATTTTTAGAGTTACAGTTGCTGTTTTATAAACTCAGTAATTTTAAGTAATCTTAATACAGAATTAGAGCTGTTATTGACCACACAGGAAAGAGAACCTGTATTTAATAGAGAGGAACAGATTTGTTCCCCCTTTCACCCAGACTGTATCCACTGCCTGCATCTGAACCATCCCCCTTCTTTCCCTCCTCGCCCCCTGTACATCTTGCCCATTACGAGGAAACTGATAGCTCCCACGGAACACATTTTGCTTTTGCAAATACCATAATGCAGAGAGATATTTTCTGGTTTTATAAATCTAGGCAATACTCCTCTGAGGGGAAAAAAAACAAAACAAAACAAAAAACCCCAGAAGCCTCCTACACAAAAATTCATGTTTATGGATAGGTAATTTCAAGGCTAGTAAAGTTATATGAGAGTCATACTCAAAACTTCCCGTACAGACATGATATTTTTTAAGTTTTCTAATCAGATAATTCTGAATCTACATAGAAGAATCATATTACTCATTTGTGTATGAAAGATGGAGGAAAAGGAATATCTTCATGGCAACAAGGGCCACTCAAATTGGTTTAAAAGCTAAAATAGTTTTCAAAGTTACTGTCTATATGGGTGTAATTATACACATGCAATCACTAAGACAGGAAAATAGAGAAGCTATTTTAACTCAGTCACTAAGGAGAAGTCAAATTACTTCAGCAAATGAAATGCTGGATTGTAGCTAAAATAAAAACCCTAGTTTCTACCTTAAGACATTCCCACATGGATCTTGAGCAGGGAGAAAAGCCGCCAGACCACCCCACAAGCCTCTCCTTCGTGAGCTAATGGAGGAGAAAAAGCAAGCGGCAGGACGCTGCTGTCTTCTGCCGAACAGCCGGTGCCACAGTAGTGCCATGTTTTAGCAGTCAGCTTGGCACAGACCTGCCAACTTGGAGAGGCTGAAGAAACTTGGGGTCCATCCCAGACTCAGATGGGAACATGCATGTTTGAGCACAGACACTTCTGACTGTTCCCCTCTAAAGTGATTTTCTATACCATCATCCTGCCTGTCCCTTTCTATTAAGCAAAACCTTCTCACCTAGGAAGCCCCAAATTGACTTCAATTCTCCTGGTTTTCTACTTCTTTTTGCACAGTCACCTCCAAAACCTTCAAGCCCAAGCCTAATCTCTCCTGACTTGGTCCCTGGGGTTGTTTCCATGTGTCCCAGACAGATCCAGACTCCTCTCATTCTTGGATTTTTAATCTCCTGTGTATTTGAACCAGATGCCTTCCTGATGTCTCCAGTGAAGTCTCTCAGCACAGAAGATGCAGAAGGTCTTGACTCATGTGCCCTCTTAGGTCTGCCTTGGCTCAGAGTCATGCCAAGCAGGGAAAACCCTGCTTTAGCCCCCAGCTGGAAAACACTGCAGACAGATGGAGTCTCTGGCAGCACAACAGCTCAACTGTAGCGAGCTACCAGTCAGCATATGCGAACTACACATTTTTCAAAAGCTTATTCACTTTGCTCATTGGGGGTTGATTTTCCACAGAAAAATCCTTGACACAGACTAGCACTGCCAAATTTTAAGGCCTGAGGGCACTAGAGCTTCTCAAATACAGGTCAAACTTATTTTTATACAAACACAAAGCAATATATCTTGTATTAGACTCATTTTGGGGAGAAAAAAAAATACTATTTTGGCTTAAATTCCATACATGTCTGATTTCTGAGCCATTTTAGTTTAAAGCTGCTAGGGACAGTTCCAGGTCAAATATAAAGTTTGGCAAAGCTCTGAGCAACTGCAGACAAAGATTTTAAATCTTCTGATTATGCCATATTACAGTAGGTGTGCTCACAGCATCGTCAACAGTGACTAATTTGGTTAAACCCCTATCACAGAATTCTTTCACCATTCCACTTTTGAGCAGTCAATGTACACCTACAAAATTCACTACTATTTCAGGGCTTTTTAAAAACATACACAAAGTCAAACTATATTTAACTTCACTATTTTTTTTTTCCTTTTTCTCAAATTAAGGCTTTAAAAGCTTTGTCAGATTTTCAGGGATTTATTTTTCCTCTTTTAACTTCAAATTAAACACAACAATTATTTACATGCATCTGCCAAGTTCTAAATTGCTCCAGTAATTTGCATCTGTGTACAACTATAAATAATTTAAACCTTTATGCCAGTGCATCATCTCTGATTCACCAAAATACACAGATTTACCAACACCTTCAAAGTTATCATCCGTACCTTTGCTGCAGACTGCTGACAAACACATTTAATAAAATGCCTTGAACTGAACTTTCAAGCAGACACGAATAATACAGTGGTTCAGGCTCAGAACCAAAAAGCCAGCAGGGAGAACTGGGTTTTCAGTGGACTTGACCCAGGAACTTAAAAGCCTATTAAGAACTATTTTTTAGAGTAAGACATAAACACTCATCTGCAGCTGGGAAAAAAACCAAACCAACAACCTTTCATTGCGTTCTGAGTATGATGCTTTTTCCAAAGGAAGAAAATAAAAGCTTGGCTCAAACATATTTTGAGTATAGCAAAGCAGCACGTAAAACTGTTGCTTCACTTTCTCAGAAAACAGATGCCAAAACAACACTATTTCAAACAAATGAGAATATGATTAATTTTCCCCTGCTCTACAGCCGTTGGCAATACTGTCATCCCCTTCTCTTGCTCTGGCTACTGACAAGTGGCCATTCACCCACTGTCCCCTTGCCCATCCTGTTTTGATTACATCCCTCAACTTCCACTCCTGACAGGCCTGCTCTTGCCATTCCAGCTTCTCTGCCTTGTCCCGACGGTCTGAGCTGCTTTGCTTCAGGGTTTCTTCCAAGTTCACTCCCATATCTCATCCCTTACCCAGTGTTTTCCACTACCCCTGACTCCTTTAGACTCCTCCCGTCTCTCAGAGCACATTTCCTACATCATTATTTCATCCTATATTTATTGTTGTAACTTCAGTTGTCCTATCTACCATATAGATACACCTTCCCGCAAGTGTTATACAACCATCAACTCTCTGTCACATCACTAAATGATGTCCAGGAGAAACGAACCATGGATGCTCAGGAGTGCCGGTCCACACTGGTGGCAGATCTAAGGCACCAAAGTCCATCTGTGGTCTTCCTCCTCCTTGCTCTTTTGGCTACTTCTCATCTTGTGAACATGCCTGTACTGTTGAAACTCTGCTGAGATAAGCAGCCTCCTCTTACCTTCAGAAATGGATTATTTCAATAATTTTGCTGCACTGTGGCAAATGCTAATCCAAGCCACTGTGTTCCCTTGGGTCCTAAAATTAGGATGTATGTTCAGGATTTGAGCACTATGCAAACGCTACCAAAAAAAAAGAAAAAAACCCCACAAAAAACAGAAAATAAAAATAGATTCCTGAATTTTAAAAAAAAAAACCTGTTTCATCTGTACTATCTATACTTTAGTAATCTAAACATTCCCTTGAAACAAAACATCTATAACTGTGCCAAGCCTGCTAACAAGTCCTAGTCTTTAAAAACCTATCCACTCATTAAAAACCTATTGTTTGAATCAAGTCTACACTAAGGACCTTGTACAAAATAAGAAAGCAAAGAGCTGATTACAAGCTTTATGATCTGCATAACTGAGAAGGTGACTGGTACCAAAGTCAAATACAGATTGACAGATTGTTTTTTTCACAGCAAAAGCACAGTCACTGGAAAAGACACTTGGAGTGAGACAACTCTTTCAATGGGAAAAAGAGCACTCTGATTATTCTGACTAGTTTTCATGGTCACAAGAAGAAAAGTGAACAAAATATTTGATACAGGGAAGCTTACAATAAAGACCTGATGATTTCAAGCTGCAGTACCAGTATCTACCACTCTTTAAACAGTTAAGCCTCTTCCCTTAACTGTGTAGTGATCTGGACAGAGATGACACAGAAAGTCGCTCCACCACTGTATCAGCTCACATCTGCTGTGGTCAAACACTTTGTTATCTGTGCTAGCAAATAAGGGATGTACCTCCACAGAAATGGAAAATTTCTCATCTCTTGGGCAAGTTATGGAAACAATACCAAAACATGGATCTCAACTTTTTTTTTTTTTTTAATGTTTATTTTTAGATGTCTATACTAGGATAACACCTAGAAGCGATTGAACACTGAGAACTCCCACTTTGTGATGGAGGCACTTGAAGTCTGGATCCACTCAACTCCCAAAACTGCAAATCTGGTTACTTGTAGCTCAAACACACATTTTTTTTATCACGTCTTAACTATTATATTTAACAAGGAATCAAGTCACGAATTATGATGAAAAGTCATAACACCTGCTATTTTGAAGATGCACTGCAAATCTCCCTATCTTGAGAGAAAGAGAAAGAGGGGGGGGAGGAGGGAGAGGAAGAAGAGAGAGATTAAGCTTTCTAACTTGCATTTTGGTGTGTTACACAATAAATTTTAGGGTTTTTTGGACATTACTGTTGTACAACATATGGACTTGCCTTCATAACTATTTGCTCACAACTTCTAATAAACTCTTCACCCACAGAGTGAGATGTTGGCTACTGGCTGCACAAATTTAACACCTCCTTAAAAACATTTTTTTTTGTTTACCTGAATTTGTCTCCTCAGCAGAAATCCAGTTTCCCTCCTGCGCTAATTCTTTTAAGAGTCTCCTACGCATTTGTCTCTTTTCCCTCAGCACATTTTTGAAATTGTTGATGCATTTGTTCAAATAGATGGTCTCTGCGCACACTTTGTCGAGGCTCATGGGTCTGCACTCCTTTGTTTGTTCAGGTAGAGAGTTCACATCTCCTCCAAGCTCCTCAGGAGGTGAGCGCTGCCCAGCAGGGATTTCACAGTCCGATGATGGCATCAAACTGGAAACAGGAGGTTCATATGGAACAGAAGAGATACTGGAAGGAACAAACCGCATTTGAGTGGACGCTTCACTGTTGACAGTTGCATTTGCCTGGCTCTCAGAGGACTGACTGGGAGGGGTTTCTGCAAAGTTGTCAGAGCTGCCACACATACCTGAACTGGTCAGCATCAGCGTATTGTCATCATCCATCTGTAAGCCACTATCATTTTCTAAAAGGATGTCAGAATCACTTGTCTCCAGTTTGTGAAAAACCACCTGCAGGGCAGACCTGAAGTGATGAATAGCTTTTCCAAGCTTATTAGTGTAAAACTTCATGTCTACAAGATCAATGTTATCCCGGGAATGGTCAAGGAAGTACTGGGAATTTTCCAGGACATCTCTAAAGACCTGATCAGTTGGATCTTGATCATTCAGGTCCATTTGGATCATATCTTTCAAGCTGTCACTACTATCAGCCATTTCATCTGTTGTACGATCATAGCTAATGGTTGTCACCCCACTAGAAACATCTTCTCTTTGAACATCAACTTTGTCCACACTAGCAAATTTGCATGGGGTATCACAGTCTGTTTCAATTTCTTCTGTGGTTATCCCCTCATCTTTATCTATTAGGGAAGAACCATTCTCAGTGATGCTTTCAGAGTCAAGCCTGTGCTCACTACCATTGCTTGAAGCACACATCTGGCTTGCATAGCCCAAAGAGTCAGATGAGCAGCTGTAACTACCATCACTTGATTTGGCCAAACCGGTCACCTGCGGATTTTGTAGAGGTTCATGAAGGACTTGCTGAATGTCACTGTCATCTGCAGGCTGCTCACTGCAGCTTATCGTCTGTGCTTCCTTCGCAGTTTCAGGTATCAAGTTGTTTTTCTTAGTCAAGGTTGACTTCTGTACAGAATCAAGTTTCTCCTCTACACACTGTGTTTTCTTACTCGTGCTTTTACACTTAACCTGGCATGAGTCCATTCGAAACTGCCCAACTGCATCAGTTCTTTGAGCTGCATCGGGATTCACTGAGTTGCGATGATTTTTCTTGAAGCCAGACTGCGAAGAGACTGAATCTGTTTTGCGGCCCCTCTGGCCATTCTGTTGCTTCTGCTCTTCACTGGTAGCAATTCGAACCCCTGAGCTTTGCAGAAGGATAGACTTCTGTAAAATAAAGTCTCTCTGTTCACAATTGACAAGTTTCACAACTGCTGGTCTTGGCATTAAGGGCTTGCCTGTACCAGTATCTGATCTATAAGCATCTTTTATATACTTACTGCACTGGATGCCATTGAAACAGTGATATTCAGACAAGAAGCTGCAGATAAGCTCTACTGTGTTTTCATTGTCTTTTTCCGGGATGCCATAAAAATATAATATTGGTTCTTCCTTGTGTACCTCCCTAGCTGGCTCTAGAGCATGTGTGCCCTGGGTTTTGCTAGTGGAACCACCTTGCAGGCCTTCTATCTCACTCAAAACCGTATCCACGCAGCTGGAGACTTCATCCACAGAGCCTTTTATCAAGGTGAGGTGTTGCCGGAGCTCTGCAATCTCTGTCTGGATGCGACTTATTCCCTGGAGCTCTTTAACAATGTAATCAACCACATCAGCTGAGCGATCTCTTGATTGCCGTCTACGACTCTTGTATGCAGTGGGCTTTTCCTGGGGAAAGCATCCTTGCCTTTCAGCTACCTCCCTCCAGCTCATGGTAATGCTCAGTGAAGAAAGGTCCTGCCCCTCAGACGCTCTGCCCTTTCTTTCAGAAGAGGTCTGCATTGTACCATCAGAAGAATTTCCCTGCAAATCCTTCTTGTTCTGTTGAACTGAGCATGGTATTTTTACATAGCCATCCCAGTTCAGTTCCACCTCACCAACACACACTTCACTCACTCCCTTGGAATCACATCCTCCATCCTGATGGAAGTCCCCTCCAGCAGTGGAAAATTCAGTGCTCACAGAGCTCCTCTTTATTCCACAAACAAACATGTCTGTTTCAATCTCCACCGGGGAGAGCTGGCAGTGATGCGCGTGGTTTGGATTCTCATCTACCTGGCCTTGAAGAAGCCTCTTCATTTTCTCCCGCAGAAACAAATGGAGTTTTTGCTTCCTGAACTGCTTCCTGCCCCACAGTTTTACAAGAGGTTGTCTGTGCAGAAGCGTAATTTCATTTTCTTGCCTTTTCAATCTACTTCTAGCAAACATCATCAGCAGCTGCACCTGTGTTTCTCATAGTGCTACAAGCTGCATACGCACACATCAATCACTTTCCAACGCACAACTCACATCCAGTTTTTATTCTGTCACGAAGCAGCTACTGAAAGAGGGGAAAAAACATTACAGTTTGGTTCAGATAGAAATAGCCAAAGTAACTTAAGCAGCAGAATAAAAAAAAAAAACAAACCACAGCATCCACATAAAAGCAGACAGAAAGAGGATGTGCTATTTAAAGTGTACAGACATCATCTTGGTTTTGGCCACCTCCCCAGATCAGGTCCTTCTTTGTCAAAATAAGTGTTCCTTTCTCCCTCTTCTATCCAAGAAAGTTAAAAAAAAAAAAAAAAAAAAAGGTAAAAAAAAATAAAATAAAAATGAAAAAAGAGCAATTCCATGGCCATTCCCTTTTTCTATCCGGTTTGCGAATTACTCAAATTACTCTAAACTAAGCTCTTGGCAATGGTGCACTGTGTGATTCAATTACCCCTCTGAATATAGAATTTTGACGATTATTAGGTATTTTATCCCTGCACATTTTCTTTCCTTTCAAGTCCACAATCTTCATCCTTTCCTGCTTCAAACCAAAGCAGAAGTCAAGTTTAACTTGGCACAGTACCAGCTATCCCACAAGAATTGCACAAAGTGATGTAAAGTGGCAGAAAGACTGGATGACAGATTTTAAGTGTAAAACCTTTTTGCTATTTTAGTAGTTTTAACTTAATATTTTGCTACCGAACACTAAAAAAACCCAAAAAGCTCAAAGCTTACAAGCTCCCAAGCTAACCTGCAGTTAAATATGCCACACTCAGCATATGCATGAACAGGCTGAGCTGACAGCATGAAGATTCTGCACGTCACTTCTACTCCAACCCTCAAGATTTTGCACTGGATCATTTTCCCAATTTAAATCCCCTCTGTAAAGAGCAAAATAAATTTTAAAAAATAAAAGTTAACTACTTAAAACTGCCATGTGTTTTCACTGTTGTACTTACTAAGCAACATACAACCAGCTTTTTCCTCTAGAGAGTAAGGTAGACAGAGACCCATATAGAGGTCCTACTGGAGCCAAGGTGAATGGAGGGCACCAGTGTCTGATGATTCCATTTGGACTTGTTGCTGAAGCACATATTCTTTCTCACATTCTTGTTTGATTTAAGATCTGTAGTACCTGCCTTTCATTTTTATGACTACCTAGTTCTAAAAAATGTATTTTTTTTTAAGCTCCAAAATGCACAAACACAATCATCATAAGCTAGTTTCAGCCCAAGTTAATTTTGCCAAGTGCATCCAGCTTTGAGCAGGAAGGTTTACTGCCACGCTGAAAGGAATAGAACCAGGGTTTCTAAAGTTTTGGTTTAGCTGTTTTGAAACCAACCTGTTACAATTCATACCAGAATGTTTTCTGCTGCTCTGCTTGCACCTTCTTTGAGATCTGTTAACCTTGGCTCTCCTACCATGGTCTTGGCAAACCTGAAGGTCACATATTGTCCCAGCAGCACCCCCTAGAGAATGCTGGACCAACTGCTGAGCCCAAATATTTCATGTTCTCATGCTAAGCAGAGGACCAAACAATACAATAGGTCTGTTTGTGCTGGACTGAGGCCCTGACCTAAGGCCAAACAAACTCACTCCGGTCACTTTCACTGCCCAAGGGCCAGCTCCAGAGCTCACAGAAGCTTTCACCCAGCCCCTCTTTCAGACATCAACTGTTTCCATTTTCAAAGCATTAACTCAAGGTTTCTACTGATCCCAAGCTGCTGCAGTGCAGAAACCCTTCCTAGCACATCCTCCAGCTCCACCTGACAGCCATGTATGCTACTGCCAGCATTTTTCTGTTAATAAGCATTTTCATCCTGGTGAATATTTTGTTTTCATTTTTGTTATTTCACTTTGGGGGCAGTGAAAGAGACAGCGGGTTTTGATCTGGAGGAAGTAGCGTTTCTAAATACCAATCTCTACAATCAGAGCTAATTAGAACTTTATAACAGAGGCTCCATCTGTGCTTCAGGTTTAAGACCCATCATCCAGCATCTCAGTTGAACTTCCATACCAAAAGCAATACCTACCTTTTTGTAGGCTAAACAAATTCCCTATTAGATTGATTGTCAGCTTCTGAAAGAAAATAAGTTTTAATTTTACAGCATTTTTAGATTATTAGTCCATAAAGATCAGGTTTTCTATTTAATGTCTTTCTTGCCTAACTACTCCCTCATGGAACAGGGTTGACTTAAGAAATATTTGCTCAGGCTCTCTTCTTCCATCACTTACACAGTTTACCTTTCACTTGAGCAGCTAACTGGTGTTTAACACCAGAAAAACACTTTTGTATCAATATTAAGAAGTGAACCTTCAGAGAGCAAGCACCTGAATTCAATGGCAGTCAGGAAGAGCTGTACAGTTGTGGCTCTCTACACATGCTGCTTGAGGGTAGCACACAGAGATCAAGTATGTCCCAGCATATCGAACCCCAAGCACACGAGCTTGTGCAAGGATGCCCTCAGAAAGCTCAATGTTCATCATGCTTCCTTCTGCACACAGCTTTCAAGGCACCAGAGAGGCATAATGATCATTTTAGTTTAAAAAAAATAAATCAGTTCACTGGAGTTTGCTCTCATTTCCTTTGTCTGCTGCAGTACTCAACAGCAGCACTTTGTTAGAGAGAAAGCTTTTTGCTCCTGAACGCTTACTTGCAGGACTGCAGCCATTCCAAAGTAGGTAGCTCAGTGTAAACATTACAATGCTGTCATTTTTATCTTTCTATATAGATAAAACACTTTATATATAGTTTGAGGTGTATATATAGACTTACATAGGTATATATACATTTACAGAAATACTTATTTCATTAGAGATTTTTTTTTCTTTAAATCTGTGATTTCAAATACCAGCAATACCTTTCCATCTTGCCCCAAAAGGGACAGAAATTGTTTCCTCCCAGGCTGGGAACAAGGTCAGAGCAGAACATGAGGACAGCAGCTCTGGCTCAGAGGGAAGCCTCTCTACCTCTCCCTACAGCAGGTGGAAGTGAAAAGAAATCTCAATTTCCATCAAAGAGCAGAACTGCCCACTTACAGGAATG